TGTTCGCTCACCTCCCGATCTACTGAGCCGACCTGTGACAGTCTCATTGTCACAGGTCGGCTAGAACTATGAGGTGAGTGAAAAGCACCCACCTCATAGTTCTCCTTTAAGCTTTTTCAAAGGGATTTTCACTGAATGACCCCACCATGAAAATAGTTAAAATTGGTGAAAATTCCTTTATGTATGGTCCAAGTGACTGGAAATCTGGCTCTGACTTTCTTGTGGATTTTCTGTTGAATTAGACAACCTGAGTAAAGCTTACGAGTCACCAAGACCCCTGATAGCAGAGGACAGGACAGTCCTACAGGCACCCACAAAAGATGGAGGTCCCAGGACAGGGACCTGCTGTAACTGTTATCAAAAATGTAGGTGGGAAAAGGCGTACAACAGTTCTCATACTGCACAATCACTTTAAATGTATTCTAGCTTAAAGTTATGAGTACAACTTGAGACACTGTAGGAAAAAGAAGAAATAATTTGTATACCATTAGATAGTGGTGGACTTTATACCTTTCTCTGACTGTTCCTCACCTCTGGAACATCAGCCCTCTATTTAAAACCTTTACCTTTCTCTCACTGTCCCTTAGCTCTGGAACACTATAAATATATATCACACCTTATTCCATGCTTTTACCGTCTCCTTACCTGGAGGATGGGGGTCCCAGAGGATATCACTGTTATCAAACATTTAAAGGAAAATAAAACAATACTTAATCTACAAAACTATTTAAATGTGTTTTTATCTATATGCTATGATTACAACTTCAGACAAAAAAAACACATTTGTCGGCCTCCTGGTGTCGGATACCTGTGGATAATGGTGGACTCCTAGGATCCTGGCAATAGGAACTGACAGAGCTGACGCCATATCTCCAACTATCCCAACCATGGCAGAGGTCTTGTGGCAGTTGTATTGAGGAACAGGGTTCCCTACCCCTGACAGAAGGGACATAACCCCTCCTATGGCCCGGAGTTCTGACATACAAGACTCCAAAAGGCTGAAGCCAAGAGTGATGTTAGGCAGCAGGTCCGGGGAATTGTTAACTTCATCTACTGCGAACATGAGGCCCAGAACATCCCGATAGTAGCGAATGTGAAACCTACACAAGACACAAAGAGGAGACATGGGGTCACTTTGCTCTTATCTGGCACATCAGCAGTTATTTTTCTGTACTTGCAGTGTGTTGTAAGGGATAAAACATGAGGAAACGTGCTTGTATTCCAGAGATGTACGTAATATGTTTTTGGACAGTATGACTTGACATCATTTTTAAGATGAGAAGACTTTCACATAAGACTTAGCCGTTGCTCTAAGCTGTTCTCCTTGAGGATACTGTTGTCACTTACCCCTTGCAGGATAACGGCTTCGGTGCTTCTTGGAAGTTCACCAGTGGAAAATCATACCCAGAGTAGACCAAAAAGATTCCTCCAACCAGAACATCCCCTGGCTGGGTAAAGGTGTCCATCTTCCATCCCTGCAGCCTGCACCCTGGGAGTGTTTGTGCTGCTGAGAGAGGGAGGAGCAGCAGAAGGCAGAAGGCGGTTTTCATAGAAGCCGGTGCCTGGTCCTCATTATAATTATGGAGTGAGTTCCTTTAAGGGAGCATTGGACAAGAAGAAGGTCAAGGCTGATATTAATATTAAGCAGATTTTCTCTCTCATCAATACATTTATTTTTTTCATTTTGTGATGGACTGGAAAGAGTCCAGTAAGTAAGCGCAGTCCTTGGGTAAAACGCGTCAGTGGAGTCAGTTCCAGACAGGGTTTCATGTTTGTTTGTCTGGATCAATAAAGCTACTGCCAGTGATTTTTTTGAATTTGACAACAGAACAAGAAATCGGGGGAATGGGTGTCATCAAGATAGAGAGACACCAAGGGCAATTAAAACCTGATAGATGTTCCAACTCTTTCACACCCTGTCACCAGATGAGGGAGTCAAAGGACATCAAGCTCACTGGGACATAGAGAGCATTAAATACCTAACACATTTACACACACTTTAATCCTGTTCCAAAATGGCCGGTGTTCATCAGAGGATGACACTGTGCAGTAGAACAACGGCTGAATAGGGATAGACATGAGATCTTCCCTGGGGGGGGGCTGAACGGGGGGACCCAGACTTGTTCCTGAGGTCCATGCTATCTCCTGGCATCTCCAGCAGTCATAGAACTCATTTGGTTCTCCTTCCCATATAGTTGCAGACCCCTACCTGTGTCCACATGTGGCCTCCTGCAGGCTTGAGACCTAGTCAGCGTCTCCAACTTTGTACATCCCACCCCCAGGCTTCGCCTGAGAATATGGCAATCCCTGAGTATTTATGCACTTCCCCAGCATGCACCACTGGCCAAGAAACTCCTAATGAATCACTGGTGAGGCATAGACACTCCTGATGCTCCCCTATTGGCTGCCCCACTCTGTGGCAGGGTCACACCCCACTGCATGTAGGTGCAATCAATAGCAGAATACCTAGAAATGACCAGATGATGCCAGACTACAAATCAACCAGACTGATTACAGTTCCAGCAACACTAGATTTCAATAGCCGCTCCACTTAGGGTGGTAGAGGCTGCACATAGATGAACCCTAATATCAATGGTTTATCATTGAGACCTTTGGTGGGATTTATCCCCTTAGAATAATGATATCAGTCATAACAAATTACCATTTTCTTTTCCTTGACCTGTTTCCTTACTCTTATGCTTTTAGTCTTGTGTTTAGTTTTTTTGCTATATATGAGGCGAACGGGACCATCTCTTAGTGTTTTCCCTCAGGATTTACACATTTTCGCTTTTGAATACAATTAGAAAATGTGTGAATGTTGGGTAAAAGAATATTAATGGGCCCCAAAGTCTTGTCCTTGTGTTTTCATACATTCATTTCCAAACGTTCTTAGTTTTTTAAAATAATTTATAGTTATAATTCTAATATGGTATTTCTTTTGGCCTTACTGCCTTACTGCTGTGTTATACTTATTGAAGACAAGCACAGATGGCATGGAGAATATGGACACCGGCACTCCAATGGCAAATAGAATATGTCTATTTATTGACATACAAAAGAAGCATAACACACTTAGTGCAATGTTTCGGGGTCTCGTAAGAGGTACAGATGACAGACAACTTGTTGTAAGCTGAACATTTATATTTATTTTTTATTTATTTATTACTGGTATTTATATAGCGCCGACAATTTACGCAGCACTTTACATAGTTGAACATTCACATCAGTCCCTACCCTCAAGGGGCTTACAATCTAATGTCCCTATCTCACATGCATACATAGAGGGCCAACATAGAGAGGAGCAAATTAACCTACCAGCATGTCTTTGGAGTGTGGGAGGAAACCGGAGTACACGGAGGAAACCCACGCAAGCACAGGGAGAACATGCAAACTCCTTGCAGATAGTGACCTGGCCGGTATCCGGACTGAGGACCCCCAGTGCTGCAAGGCAGAAGCGCTAACCACTACACCACTGTGCTGCCCCATATAGATATACACTGAGTGGCCAGATTATTATGACCCCCCCATCAGTACTTCGTTGGGCCGCCTGGTGACTCCACGAGATGGTGAAAGGTGATGCGAGGAATCTGACACGGCACTGTTGCCCTTCTGTTGTCTTGTACCAGTCTTGCCCCTCCCCCGTTCTGCCCTAACATTGACTAGTCGCTGACGGCCACAATTCGCACGTTCACACCCAGATTTTCGGCTGACAGTCCGGTCTTTAAACACTTTAACAACAGCTGCTCTTGAACATTTAACGGATTCTGCTGTTTTGCTGATACTCGTTCCATGGCTCCGAGCGCCAACAATCATCCCACGTTCAAAGGCTGTTAAATCGCATTGATTCCCCGTATCTTCAGAAATCACTTCTACTGTCGTGGTAAACAAATAAATGTATAGAATACCTTTATTTGAGTGTTATCCCGGCTTTCCTGCCATGTACAATATTAATAAACACCAGGGATGTATCTGTATGTTTAACATAAGGGTAGAACATGAGGACACCATGCAGCGTTGTGGTCCTCCCTCTGAGCACCATATATTTAAATCGGAACTCCGGGCACACAGAAAAATAACGATTGAAGTTCATATATTGGATCTGTCCTACCACCCGAAGGTTTTGTATCTCTGTCCATCCATACCAGAGATTTACCCAGCCCTTGTAGAAAGCATAGGTAGCCTAGTGACCATGTGTTTGGACAAAGGTCTAGTGACTGAGGGGGTGGAGATGCCATGGAGGAACTTCAGCATGAATAAGGGAAGTTGGTCCTGTGCGGAAGTATGGTGATTACTCCCCTATGGACTGTGTAGCTGCAACATCTGGTATCTCACAGTCAGGAGCTACAGACAGAGACTGCCAGGTTGGCTTAAAGGCTGTTTATCTGTGAAGGTTGCAAGTAATTTTGTTCTATCATTATGGAGTCTGCAGCATCCTGGGTGTCCTGTGCCCTAACCCTCTCTCCAGAAGTCATTTAATAAAGTTTCAGCAAGATCAGCAGTGTGGAGGTCAGTTTATCAGTCGGAGGATCGGTAAGTGCTCTTGTGGGAGCAATGGAACGGTATATTGCAGTTCAGCAACATATTGAGGTCACCTTCAGTAAGTGCCCCCAGCTTGTGATTGGGCAGTGAAAGAGCAGCAATGGAATAATGAGGTCATTCCTCTTCTTTCAGCAGGTTCCTTGTCAAGTCCTGATTGGTCTCTAGTCTGCAACCCCCCCCTTCAGTCTGCTGTACTGGAGTTTACAAGAAGCTGATACCATATATCCATTTCATTATTTGTAATAGCGATAGAAATGCATTCACTGGGGTTTTTCATGATGCCGAGTTCAGATTCAGATATGTGAATGGACTTGCAATCCCGGCCAATCATTGCACTGCATTTTCCCCCCATTTAATTGACAATCTACATTCAGAGTTCAGCCGAGCTTGGATCGTGAACCTGAATCACCTGACTGTCCGCAGGTCTGGCCAACCCACGTACAGATATTCGGTTGCATCAAAAAGGTGCAAATGCAGATTCTTCCCATTTGGCCATCTCTGTTGTGCGTTGGATGCACTCACCTGTCTATGCCGGGTTGCTGAGCTGGAATTCAGTCCTCTTGTTATTGATGGTCCACCAATCATTGAGGGTGTTGAGCAGCATCAGGCTTTTCATATATTAGTAAGATACTAGACTATATTACTGTACTGTGATGAAGGCATTGTCCCATACTGACCTCTATATGTATGTTCCTATACATGAAGGTACATGTTTATATATGTACTTGGCAGGTGTGACCAGGGAAAGGTTCCTCAGCACTCAGCGGACACTAAGATGGTATAATTAGTGGTTTTTCTTTACTCTGAGGGCCACATAGGAGGCGGCACAGTGGATAAGTCCTGATGAAGGGCTCAGTGATTACATGCTGTGTTAATTACAGGCTCCTCGCTCCTCCGAGCTTCAACAAAATAACAGCCTGTGACGGAATCTGCTCAGTAAGCAGCACCGGGGGGAACGCAGGAATCGCTGCCTCCTGATGACAAGGTCTTCTTTTCTCACTAATCACATCCCAAGACACGTCCCCGAAAAACCACGTACCCGCGGGGGCATTGCCAGCTGTTCCTGAATTGCTGCGTCCTTTTGGCAGTCTGAAGTTACAAACTAAAAATATAAATCTAAAAAATGTCACCATCTTCTTCCTTCATCCTTATCGGACATCCTGCCCAGTCCAAGATTCTGATGGTTGTGCTAATTGACAGGCAAACATGTCATTTTCACCAGTTGCCCAATACCTGCACTCGTAAAATTATTGTTTTTTGTTCATTTTCTTTTTATTTCAGGCTTCCTGTTTGTATTTCCACCTGATTATTACCAAAATTATATTTTCAATAAAGGTACATCAAACTGCTTATTGCACATTAAGTCATTGGTGGTACCTGGCTCCGGGTTCCAGCAGGTCCTCCCGCATACATTGCAGCACTTCTGACTTCCAGGGCAGTCACTGTCTGTGGTACAGTTATCGGTGGGCTCTGGACGGCACTTTTCTTTTACGTCCGGGCAGCGGCCGGCTCTGACTGCAGACGGAGGACAGAGGCAATGGTCAGTGATGGCTTATAGGACAATGCTATCACAGGGTGCTCAGGGCCTTACCTTTCTCCGGGGGCAAACACTTCAGTTTTAAGTTACCGAAGCAACAACATTTCTTGGATTTGGGACACTGGATGTCATTTTGACACTCGGGACGACCGGGTTTGGAGTAAGGACAGACAGAAGAATCGAAGGCCGGACACACAGAAATCAGAGCTGGAGGTGGAGGCGGTGCTGTGAAACATCAGATACAGAAAATAGTTACATACTCAGATTAAAGTAGAACCAATAGAATAAAAATATGTTCTGTAGCACTTAATATTATGCGCATCTTCAATGACAGTTTTGTCTTAGTCCCTCTGCAAAGTCCCACAAATACCTGTTGTTTCTGCTAGTGAAGTCCACCTA